ATGCTGTGTGAAAGAAGTCAGGTGCACAAGGCTATGTATTGTATGATTCCCCTTAGAGGAAACATCCAGAATTGGCAAATCTGCAAAGACAAAAAGATTAGCCGTTGCCTAAGGTCAGGGAGGAGGACTGCTAAGGGGATCCGGTCGGGGTCGGGGGCGGGAAACGGGGAATAGCTACTAATGGGTACAAATTCTTTTTTTTTTTTTAGTTGATAAAAACGTTCTAAAATGGATTGTGGTGGTTTCGCAATTCCATGAATACTAAAACCCACTAAATACACTTTAAACGGGTGAATTTTACGGTATGTGAATTATAGTTCAGGAAAGCTGTTAAAATAAAAATAAACGAACTGCTTCCTTTTGGAGAAAACGGGACAGAAGAAATAGAGAGAAGACATTTCTCTGTGCACAGCTTTTTGAATAGTTTTAACTTTTGGAATCATGACATTTTACATATTCAAATAATAAAGTTATCAAGAATTGGGGAAAATGCTACAACAGAATGCCAACAAAGGAACCCGAGTGTCTTTCAAATAATTAGCCATCATCTGAAAGAGAGTTGGGACAAAACAAATTTAAGTAATTTTTGAAGACAGCACTTTGACTGCATACCCTCAGACTAAAGAAAAAAGCTGCAAACAGATCTGCAACTCTCACTGGGTTTGTTTCGTGGGGTCCTGTGGGTGGAGCCATTCCAAACCTGCTCTGTGTTATGGCGTGTTTGAGCCATGCGTGATGCTCCCTCTGCGGCTGTGAGCCAGGGTGGTCACCATGCAAGACGGGACGCACAGGAGTGAGGCAGGTAAGGAAGTGCCGTGGGGCTGGGTTGTAGTGGAGGTAGAAGGGTCTGGAGGTTCTGATGGCCCACTAGCAACAAGCACATCTCCCACTCACATCTTAACTTCAAATCCCATTCCTCACTAAAAAGAACCAGAATTCTCAGAGAAAGGGCTGGATTCAGCGGCACAGCAGAGAAGGTGCATCTGCTGCATAGAAAATAAGGACGTGGTCACGTGCGTGGCTCACGCCTGTAATCCCAGCACTTTGGGAGGCAGAAGTGGGCGGATCACAAGGTCAACAAATTGACACCATCCTGGCCAACAAGGTGAAACCCCATCTCTACTAAAAATACAAAAATTAGCCAGACGTGGTGGCATGCGCCAGTTGTCCTAGCTATTCAGGAAGCTGAGGCAGGAGAATCATTTGAACCCAGGAGGCAGAGGTTGCAGTGAGCCAAGACCGTGCCACTGCACTCCAGCCTGGCAATAGAGTGAGACTCTGTCTCAAAAAAAAAGAAAAAAGCAAGCAAGAAAGAAAAGAAAATAAGGACGTGCTCCATATACACCATGGAATACTATGCAGCCATAAAAAAGGATGAGTTGAAGTCCTTTGCAGGGACATGGATGAAGCTGGAAATCATCATTCTGAGCAAACTATCACAAGGACAGAAAACCAAACTCCGCATGTTCTCACTCATAGTTGGGAACTGAACAATGAGAACACTTGGACACAGGGCGGGGAACATCACACACTGGGGCCTGTCATGGGGTGGTGGGAGCGGGGAGGGAGAGCATTAGGAGAAATACCTAATGTAAATGACGAGTTGATGGGTGCAGCAAACCAACACGGCACACGTAAACCCATGTAACAAACCTGCACGCTGTGCGCATGTACCCTAGAACTTAAAGTATAATAAAAACAATAATAATAGAAAGAAATGCAGACATGTTAAAAAAAAAAAAAAAAAAAGAAAAGAAAAATAAAATAAGGATGTGCTCAAAACAAGGACTGGTCCAAAGAAAGATGCTGGAACAGCCTGGACAGACCCCCACAGCAAACCTGGAACAACGGAAGCAGCAATATCTATCAGAACAACAGTCAGTTATAACCCACTATAAACAGAATAACGTTGCCGAACAGAGAATCCATGAACCCACAGGGATAGTAAACACACACTGGGAAGAAAGTAGCCCTTCTTTATCGAATGCTGTGAGAAGTGACCGAGGTGGAAAATCAACACATTGAACCGTTACCGTAACAGTTGACCCAGTTGAGTGCAAACGTGACTTGGTGCCAGTGAGGCCAGCTTGGGGCAGTAGGCGGCTTTACGGGCAGACAGGGCGTTCTCAGCCTCAGCAGATCTCCCGAAGGACACCCAAGGATGAGGAAAATCAGTGACTATTCAGAGGAGGAACCACCTTATCGGGGACCAAAATTATCACTGCCAATCAGGGCAGGCTGACAGACGCCTCCGTGTTCCGTATCTCAAGGACATTGTTTACAGAGCACTCCAGCCGGAAACACGTAACTCGAATTCAACCCTGACAAAATACCAGACCAAACTGAGGACACGCTTTAACACAACCGGCTGGTATTTTTTCAAAAATATAACTGCCGTTAGAGACGAAGACAAGCTGAAGAACTGCAACAGATTAAAGAATAAAGAGATGTGATTACTAAATAGAGGATGTGATCTGGTCCTCTGTCCTGGACCAAGAAAAAAAAAGGATAGGAAAGAAACTGTCAAAGTTCGAATGAAAACTGTAGATGAGATAAAAAGTATGGCTCCACGTTACAGTTCTTGAATTGATAGCTTGTGTGGTTACATAAGATAACATCCTTATTCTTAGGAAATAAACACTAACTTTTGTTTTTGTTTATTTTTTAGACAGAGTCTCACTCTGTCACCCAGGCTGGAGTACAGTGGTGCCATCTCGGCTCACTGCAACCTCCACCTCCCGGGTTCAAGCAATTCTCCTGCCTCAGCTTCCCTAGTAGCTGGGATTACAAGCATGCACCCGGCTAATTTTTTGTATTTTTAATAGAGATGAGATTTCACCATGTTGGCCAGGCTGGTCTCGAACTCCTGGCCTCAGGTGATCCACCCGCCTCGGCCTCTCAAAGTGCAGGGATGACAGATGTGAGCCACCGCGCCCAGCCAATAAACACTAAAGTATTAAGGGGTAAGGGATACAAAGTAAGGTAGGGGAAAGACAGAAAGAGAAAGAGGCAAGGAGAGAGAGACAGAGGGAAAGGGAGAGAGACTGCTATGACGTGGCAAAAAGTTAAAAATGGATAAATATGCATAAAGAGTATATGGAAGGTTTGTTTTTTTCCCTTCAAATTTCTGTAAGTTTGAAATTAATTCAAAATAAGCCAAAAAAAAAAAAAAAAAAAGGAACAGAGTAACTTCCTTTAAACAAGGAAGCCTCCTTTTGAAGCTGCAGCATCTGAGACACAGGTGACGACTCCAGGCCCCCCAACTCTGTCTCCCCTCTCAGCCAAGATGATTTTTAAAAGTCCACAGTTGCAAACTGTTAGTGTCTCCTAGGGAGGGTTTTCTCATCATTCTCATGGTTAACATGCTTAGCAGGCTAACACTCTTCATCCTGTGTGTTTAGGAACCTGTGAGAAAGGGTAAAGGTCAACACGGCAGGTGGGGTGCTTCCTGCACTGCTGCCATCAGGCTGGTGTTTTTCTTGCGTGACGGGATCCCAGGCTGGCGGCCCAGGGCTGTGCCACCCCTTGCTGCCCGTGCCTGAGTGTGGATGTGGATCCTCACGCCTGCCCCTCATGGTGCCAACAGCAGGTGCCCCTGTAGGCTTCAGGACTACATTTCAAGCAAAAACAAGGCAGGAAGGGGTGGGAAGGTGTCCTCGACCCAGCCTTGCCTTCACTTGCAAAGGAAACTCACTCAGCCACAAGCCCTCCCCTTCTCAGTGGCCAGAGCTGTGCTGTGTGCACACCAAGGGCCAGAAGACAGACACCAGCTGGCAGAGGACTGGCTGACCAGGGACCCACGCTGGCAGGACGCAGTCTCAGTCCTGCAACTAGCTCCAAATTAAGATGTAAAAAGCCACGTTTAGCAAATGAGATTTTTCCTGAGCTTTTTTTTTTTTAAGGGCTGCGTGCTTTCTATTTGAGATAATCTGAAATTACAGAAAACACACAATGGGAATATCGCATGGTGGCCTCGACCTTTCTAAGCTTTGGCTGTTGCACAAAACCACTCTACGTCTCTAACGTTCTGTGCTCTGTGGTTGTTTTGTGTGGAAACAAAATCTCTGGGGTTTACCAGATATGCTTGGAAATTCCTTGTAACCAATGAAACTGCGGCTAAAATGCACTGTGTTCCAATTGGGATTTTGCATTTCACATATTATTTTTGAAAAACAACACAGAAAACGTGAAAGCTACAAAGGCTACAAAAGTTTTCTATGTAGGCCGGGCACGATGGCTCGTGCCTGTAACCCCAGCACTTTGGGAGGCCAGTATGGGAAGACTGCCTGAGCCCAGGAGTTTGAGAGCAGCCTGAGCCAGATAGCAAGACCCCCATTTCTACACAACAAATTTAAAAATTAGCTAGGCGTAGTGACATGCACCTGTGATCCTAGCTACTTTGGAGGCTGAGGCAAGAGGATTGCTTATGCCCAAGAGTCTGAGGTTGCGGTGAGCCGTGATCACGCCACTGCACTTCACGCCACTGCACTCCACGCCTGGCTAACAGAGACCCTGTCTTGAATTAAAAAAAAAAAAAAAAAAAGTTTTTTCTGTAAAGTTTTGGCAGAAACTTTTCAGATTGAGACTTGACATTTAATAACTTTCTGTAATAATGGAGGATTTTAACTTTGGTTCAATTTTTGGAATCTTTCGATGGGTTTGAGGTTGCAGGTATCAAACCCTGCAGGAATGGGCTATGCACGGCTTCAGGCGGGCTGGAGTGTAACCGAGGCTGCCAAGTGTGAAACAGCGCAACAGTAAAAGCAAAATACACGCAGTGAGAAGAGAAAAGAAATGAATTCACACCATGGGCCTGCAGATGTGGAAATGAAGTGTTACTAAGGCCAGGCGCCTGTGCTCTGGGGTTCCTGGCCAGGCTCCCAGAAGGAAGGGTGTGGTTTCTTTTTCCTCTTGGACGGCTGGCTCCGGGCCCTGGATACCTCGGAGTCAATTCCAGACATTTGGGGTTGAGTCATCAGAAGAAAGAAAATAGAGACATCTGAATTGTACACATCACTGTATTTTAAACATGTTTAGGCAAGTATATTTTTGTTACTAAAATAGTAAATACATTTTACTAATAGTGGAATACATTTTGTTACTAAAAAGGGAAAAAGTTATTCAAAATGATAAATACTGAATTAATAAGCTCTTGCATTAGAAGAAAATAGGAAGAAAGTTAGCAAAGGAAGGGGTGAACTGAAAGCGTCGACATGCATTCGTGAAAGTCCAGGTGCGGTTTATTCTCATTTACTCTGAAGTGAGCTGAAATCAGGACTGCAGGGCGGGCGATGCATCTGTGACAAGGCTGTGAGAAAGGGTAAAGGTCAACACGGCAGGTGGGGTGCTTCCTGCACTGCTGCCATCAGGCTGGTGTTTTTCTTGCGTGACGGGATCCCAGGCTGGCGGCCCAGGGCTGTGCCACCCCTTGCTGCCCGTGCCTGAGTGTGGATGTGGATCCTCACGCCTGCCCCTCATGGTGCCAACAGCACCAAGGCTGGACAGACTCATGGGTGCCCGCCCCACCCTCCTCCTGCAGCCACTCCCCCAGGGCAGGCCTCCTGTCCGGGGAGCCAGGCTGTTGGCATGCCACACAAAATCACGCGTGCTGGGTTCTGCACAGAGCAAAGCCAGGCGTGCAGCACAAGGCAGGCTGTCTGGCTCTCGAAGACCCCGCAATGGAGCCCCTGCAGCCTGGGCATGTTCTGACCCCAGAGGTGGCAGCTTCCTGCAGTCCCCCGACCTGTCATTCCTGTCCCGTGACTTGCAGAAAGAGGCAGCTCCTGGGAGATCCTGGGTGACACCTGGGACTCTGCCCTTCCTTCCTGGGCTGCTGTGTGAGGGGGGCCAGGGTCTGGAGACCCTGAGGGCTGCCCCAACACCAACACCCCTGCCTGTGCTCCTCTTGTGACGTGGGTGCATCCTGTCCTTACTGCCAAAGCCACAGCAGGGGTGTGGGGAGCCCGTGCATCTGACCGGTACCTGTCTAACCCCACCGCCCGTGCCACCGTCATCTGACCGGTACCTGTCTAACCCCACAGCCCGTGCCACCGTCATCTGACTGGTACCTGTCCAACCCCACACCGCCTGTGCCACCGTCATCTGACTGGTACCTGTCCAACCCCCCACCGCCTGTGCCACCGTACGTAATCTGACTGGTACCTGTCTAACCCCACACCGCCTGTGCCACCGTCATCTGACCGGTACCTGTCTAATACTCCACACCGCCTGTGCCACCGTAATCTGACCGGTACCTGTCTAACCCCCCACCTGTGCCGTCATCTGACTGGTACCTGTCTAACCCCGCCTCCTGTGCCACACGTACGTAATCCCCACGGTTTTGTCTAACCCCCACACCACCTGTGCCACTGTAATCCTGACCGGTACCTGTCCAGCCCCACCGCCTGTGCCTGATCATCCTGACTGGTACCTGTCTAACCCCGCCCGTGCCACCGTAATCTGACCGGTACCTTCTAACCCCCGCCTGTGCCACCGTACGTAATCTGACATTGCCTGTCTAATCCACCGCCTGTGCCACTGTATGTAATCTGACCGGTACCTGTCTAACCCCGGCCTGTGCCACCGTGATAAGGACAGGCACGAGAAGAGCCCAGGATGCACACCTGGCCACTTGGCGGCTGAGCCACAAGCCTGACGAGTGGGAGACCCCCTGGGTTCGGGTGAGGAAGGCAAGCGGCAGGCCCCTCCGCTTCTGTGTGACACATGGAACAAGACTTCTGACCTGGTCAAACACTTCACACACACATAACGGAGGAAACTTTTGGCGTGCTATCAAACGCTTTGTCACACGCACACATCTCCAGCTCCCAGCATGGAGGAAAGGCAGCTGACCTGGCCGGCCCACCCCAGGCTGGTCCCCACAGAGGCCTGAGCGTTTCCCCTTCCAGCCGCGCAGTTTCAGTAGCCACCGTTGCTTTACTGAGGGCGTCACCTCGGCCAGCTGGTCTTGCCGGAGTACCCTGGCTGTTTCGGGGGTGAAACTGGCTGCCCAGTCTCCAGCCCCACCGCGTTATTGTGGTAAATAGCCCTTCAGCAGACATCCCATGTCAGCCCTTGGGTCTGTTCCTGCAGGGCCCACACTGCCTGGCAGCCCTGCATAAACAGGGTACCACTGGCTCATCCACTCCTGCCAAGCAGCCATCCCATGCCAGCCCCCCCGCCTGTGCCACCGTACGTAATCTGACCGGTACCTGTCTAATCCCACCGCCTGTGCCACTGTATGTAATCTGACCGGTACCTGTCTAACCCCCCGGCCTGTGCCACCGTAGGACAGAGCACGAAGGAGAGCCCAGGATGCACACCTGACACACTTAGCGGCTGAGCCACAAGCCTGACGAGTGGGAGACCCCTGCGGTTCAGCGGCGTGAGGGCAGAGCGACGGGGCCCCTCCGCTTCTGTGTGAGCACACGCGCATGGAACAAGACTTCTGACCTGGTCAAACACTTCACACACACATAACGGAGGAAACTTTTGGCGTGCTATCAAACGCTTTGTCACACGCACACATCTCCATCCCAGCATGGAGGAAAGGCAGCTGACCCTGGCCGACCCCACCCCAGGCTGGTCCCCACCAGAGGCCTGAGCGTTTCCCCTTCCAGCCGCGCAGTTTCCAGTGGCCACCGTTCTTTACTGAGGACGTCACCTCCGGCCGCTGGTCTTGCCAGGTACCCTGTGTGAGGGTGAAACTGGCTGCCCAGTCTCCCAGCCCTGCCCTTATTGTGGTAAATACGCCCTTCAGCAGACATCCCCATGTCAGCCCTTGGGTCTGTTCCCTGCAGGGCCCTGCCTGGCAGCCCTGGGTACCACTGGCTCATCCACTCCCCACTGCCAAGCAGCCATCCCATGCCAGGGACACGGGGCTTAGAATCAATCAGAGAATAAAACAGATGCAACCCTGTGTGGAGCTCACAAAATTCTGACATGGGGAGAACCACATTCACCGGGTGCTGGTGCTGCGGTGTGACCATGTCCCTCCAGAATTCACATGACGTCGTAATTGCCATTGCGGTGGTACTAAGAGGTGGGCCCCCTACTCTTGCAAATGGCTTCATGCCTCATAAAAAGGCAGCAGGGAACTGGCTGAGGCCTCTTGACCTTCCATCCCCGCCACCACATGAGGATGCAGTGTTTAGCAGAGACTAAACTGCCCACACATTCATCTTGGACTTCCAGCTTCCAGAACTCTGAGAAATGATGCTTTTTGGACAGAATTTCACTGTGTCACACCCAGGCTGGAGTACAGTGATGTGATCTCGGCTCACTGCAACCTCTGTCTTCCAGGTTCAAGCAATTCTTCTACCTTAGCCTCCCAAGTGGCTGGGACCACAGGCATGCGCCACCACCTGGCTAGTTTTTGTATTTTTAGTAGAGATGGGGTTTCACCATGCTGGCCAGGCTGGTTTCAAACTCCTGACCTCCGTCTTGGCCTCCCAAAGTGCTGGGATTACAGGCATGAGCCACCACGCCTGGCCTGAATGTCTGTTCTTTATAAATACAGTCTCAGGTGTTTTTGTTATGCGGCCCACACTGCCTGGCTCACGACTTTCCTGTGCTAAATGCCGTTAGAAGAGGCCCAGCTCCTTTGGAGGCTGTGCCCGGGAGGCAGGCATGGCTGCCACGAGCTTTCCATCACCTTGGGGCACGTCACCAGCTCCGAGTCCCAGCTCCTGGCTGAAGTGGAATCAACAGGGCCTGTTTTGTTCCGTTGTTGGGGCAAAACGGAAAACCATGTCCACGCCTGTCTTCCAGGTTCAAGCAATTCTTCTACCTTAGCCTCCCAAGTAGCTGGGACCACAGGCATGCGCCACCACCCCTGGCTAGTTTTTTTGTATTTTTAGTAGAGATGGGGTTTCACCATGCTGGCCAGGCTGGTTTCAAACTCCTGACCTCCGTCTTGGCCTCCCAAAGTGCTGGGATTACAGGCATGAGCCACCACGCCTGGCCTGAATGTCTGTTCTTTATAAACTACCCAGTCTCAGGTGTTTTGTTATAGCGGCCCACACTGCCTGAAACACGACTTTCTGTGCTAAATGCCACGTTGAAGAGCCCAGCTCTGGCACTGGAGGCTGTGCCCGAGGCAGGCATGGCTGCCCACGAGCTGCATCACCTTGGGCACGTCACCAGCTCCGAGTCCCGAGGCTCCTCGGCTGAAGTGGAATCAACAGGGCCTGTTTTGTTCACGTTGTTGGGGCAAAGAAAACGGAAAACCATGTCCCTTAAGCACAATACCTGGTAAAAAAATCTCACACTGAACTGCCACCATGACAACCCCAGCATCACCTAAGGAGGCTGGACACTGAGAAGAGCAGAAGCCTGTGTGGCCCAGCCCCTGCAGCGCGGCGAGGAGGCTGCACCAACCCTTGGTCTTCAGTCACTCAACCTCCTTGGCCCATTCTGTTTCCCAGCTTAAGAAACAAAACAAAACGTGGGTATGGAGAAGGATTTCACTGCCGAAAGAAAAAGCGCAGTGACAAGTGATCACACGGAAGACAAGCTGGAGAGCCACGTCCTGGCTAAAGGCAGGGCCATTTTCTATCCGGGTCACCTGCCATCAGGTGGAGTTAAGGCCGATATTGCACAATCTTCCTAGTTTTCAAGCAGTTCCAGAATTCCTGTTATGTGAACTCGCCTCGTTTAACACTTGCTATAACTCTCAATAGATGTGAAGCATGCAGTGCACACGTGCAGATGGATGCTGGCCAATGTGGGCTGCTGAGTGGGCCGGGCCCAGGCTCACGCCAACCTGGCACCAAGAAGTCAGAGCTCGTGAATGTCACTTGCACCACACGCTCCACTATGGATCCGTCCCCTCCCACTGCTGGTCGGGGAGACTGAGGCCAGTGAGCACCATGGGAAAGTGCTGTGCCGTCTGGAAGGGGTCCGGATCATAACAGTTCACAAAGCCTTTTCTACCCACAAGCCCCCAACTTCAGGCTCTGCACTGAGGGGTCCCTGGACCAATGTGTGGGTGACACTGGACGGAGCGGGTGAGCCTTGCTTCTCTACGGCGCCTCCATCTCAGTGCATCCAAACATGCGTATGAAGATACAGGAGGTAAAGCGTGGACCCTGGGGAAGGTCAAAGTCCTAGTGGAGGTGAGATAAAAATTAGGCTGTCCGCTTCCACCTCCAAACCGAATTCTGAACACACGACGATCTATCACTATATTTTGTATCTCCAAGATAAAACATTCACAGCAATGTGAATAGGTTAGTTTATTTTGAGAGAGAGGAAGACATCATTTGGGTTCTGTAAACATCAGTCACTTTATCACGCCTCTGTCTGGCTGAAAAACACCAGCTCCTGCTGACTCCACGAGGGCGCGGCTGCAGAGGGCGCTGCCTGCCAGGGGGTGGGGCTTCTAGTCAAAAGTTTCAGCAGGGACACCATTTGCTGGATGGGTTTAAGATTAAAATCGCTTTGTAAAATGTCATAAATAGGTTACTATACACCGCGATCAATAAAGTTAAAGCACCACCAATCAAAATACACTGCTCCGGGCTGGGTACAGTGGCTCATGCGTGTAAACCCAGAACTTTAGGAGGCCAGCGTTGGCAGATCACTTGAGATCAGGAGCTGGAGACCAGCCTGGCCAACATGGTGAAACCCTGTCTCTAGTAAAAATACAAAAAATTAGCTAGGCGTGGTGGTGGCGCCTGTAATCCCAGCTACTTGAGAGGCTGAGGCAGGAGAATCACTGGAACCTAGGAGGTGGAGGTTGCAGTGAGCCGAGATCATGCCGCTGGTCTCCAGCCTGGGAGCCAGAGTGAGGCTCTGTCTCAGAAAAACAGAAACAAAAACAAAAACAAAACAGTGTTCTGAGAGTTCCACGAAACATAAGGAACATAATCACACAGGATTCTCACGAGCAGCTGACGTTTTCCACATACATTTCAAAGGTGCTTTTGATAAAAAATAAACTTTGAATTTCAATTGCACATTTACGTCAAAACACACACACACACACACACACACACGCAATTCTGTACGTCTGGTAACGAAATTGCTAAATTGGTATATAACTTCTAGCTGGGTATAAAACAGTAGGAACAATGTACCTTGGGACTCATCATCAGGCAGCTCATTGCCACGAGCTGCTGCCGGACTATTCTAGGGACCCCAGGACCCTGCAGTTGAGCATCTCTGAAGGGGTCCAGGTCTATCCTACAGCTCAGTTGGAAAATGACATCACTACTTGTCTTGAAATCTACAGAGAGGCCGGGCGCGGTGGCTCATGCCTGTAACCCCAGCACTTTGGGAGGCCGAGGCGAGTGGATCACGAGGTCAGGAGATCGAGACCATCCTGGCTAACACAGTGAAACCCCGTCTCTACTAAAAATACAAAAAATTAGCCTGGCGTAGTGGCGGCGCCTGTCGTCCCAGCTACTCAGGAGGCTGAGGCAGGAGAAAGGCGTGAATCCGGGAGGCGGAGCTTGTAGTAAGGGGAGATCGTGCCACTGCACTCCAGCCTGGGCGACAGAGCGAGACTGTGTCTCAAAAAAAAAAAAAAGAAAAGAAAAGAAATCTACAGAGAAACACCAACCACGGAATTAGGGTCTGGATTGGGTGCCTGTAGGTAACTCAGTCAATTAAAAACAGCTCTAAAACCCAGGCAACCTGATTACGAAATACCTTATTTTGTCAAATGAGCAAAACAGTATGAATGATAAATTCTCATTTTAAAACAGGTTCCGTGATTTAAAAAAAAAACCTTGCAAGATTTCACTCGACCACCCCAGGCTCTGGTTGGTGGGGGTTAGACTCCAAGGAGTCTCTGCTGCTACCAGAGCGTCACTATCCCTCAGCGTTGTCTTTGTACCCTTTGCCACCAGATGGCACTGCCGTACACCTGGGTTTAGGTTTTTTTTTTTTTTTTTTTTTTTGAGACAGAGTCTTGCTCTGTCACCCAGGCTGGAGTGCAGTGGTGTGATCTCAGCTCACTGCAACCTCCACCTCCTGGGTTCAGGCGAGTCTCCTGCCTCAGCCCCCCAAGTAGCTGGGATTACAGATGTGTGCCACGACACCCGGCTAATTTTTGTAATTTAGTAGAGATGGTGTTTCACCATCTTGGCCAGGCTGGTCTTGAACTCCTGGCCTCAAGTGATCCGCCTGCCTCAGCCTCCCAAAGTGCTGGGATTATGCTGCGTGTGAGCCACCCTGCCCAGCTTAGAATTTCATACGCTGGGAAACTTTAACAAGAAACAAACTATATTATGTTCTATCTTAGCCCAATTCTCTCCAACTGAAAACAACGTGACTTCTGAATAAGACACACGGCATATGAGTGTGTGGCTGGAAACAATCGACGCTGACCCACCTGCCCAGTGGGAGGCACTTTACTATGAAGCCCTGTCCAGCATTCAGACAAAGCCACTCCACTCCTCAACAGGTGTGACGCCCCCAGACGCCATGGACTCCTCTCCTAGATGCTTGACACGGTCTGGTGCGGCTAAACTGACAGAACCTGCCAGGACATTCACAAAATTATAATTTCTTAAAAATACTTTGTAGCTACTTCAAAATTAATACTAATGAGAAATAAAGTTAGTATCGCCCTCAGAACTAAACACAAAACATTCACTGCCTCATTAATTCAAAAGCCATTATTCACGGAGCTTCCCAGAATCGGTGTACCGGATCCGCTGGTGCCCAGGAGCCCCAGCCAGAGCAGCTATGGCCTCTTCTTCCGCAGCAGCTGCCCGTTGCCTTCTGGCCTGCTCTTGGCTTCTGGCTGTGCGAAGTTCCAGTCCACCGGACTGAGAAGCTGCTGAGTCTTCTTGTGGGTCCAGTACGGATTGATGACCAGTGTGAGCAGAGCCAGTCCGACAAGGAAGAGTGCCAAGTGAGGCGGATACAGGCTGCTGGCCAGGCCGTCCCAGTGCCAGAAACACACCCACCACATGTGGTAGGTCAGGACCATTCGGCAGTGGAACGTGTGGACCATCAGCCACTGGTTGAGCTTCCAGAACAGGGACTCGGACCAGCCGGCCTGCACGGAGACAAGACAAACGCACAAGTCAATGCCCAGCCCGCCTGCACGGAGACAAGACAAACGCGCAAGTCAATGCGAAACTGCCAACATTCATTCTTCACATCACAAAGAGGTATTTGCTACCTTACTTACCAAGCAAAACAAATTCATTTCAAAGCAACAGAATTTCCTCCCCAGGGCTCTGCTCTCACTGGGACTTCATTCTGAAAGGAGGCCGCCGGCTCCGTGGGCGCGCCTGGGCCAGCAGGGTTGACCCTTGCCCGCTCATGCTGTTCTCCTAGTCCTCTTGCTTTTGACTTCCGTTCCCTAAAGCTATGATAAATTCAACCTTTCTTTCGGTCTCCCTTCAGTCTTTGTTTTATCTTGAATTTTACATATTAGGTAAATAAGCAATATTTATTTGGCAAAACCAGACACAGGTATCTCAAGCTCCCATACCTAGACCCTGGGAAGTGATGAGGTCATGCGGGTGGGGCCCCATGATGGGATTAGTGTCATAAGAAGAGGAAGAGACCAGAGCCTTCCCCTCCTCCATGCTAGGACACAGCCAGAAGGTGGCCATGTAAACCAGGAAGTGGGTCTTCACCAGACACGAATCTGCTGGTGCCTTGATCTCAGACTTGCAGCCTCCAAAACTGTGAGAAAGGAATTTCTGCTGTTCAAGCTGCCTAGTCTATGGCAGCCTGCTGTGGCAGCCTAAGCTGACTAATACAGTATACCACCCCGGCAAAATATTCTAATTGGGCCAGGCACGGTGGCTCACGCCTCTAATCGCAGCACTTTGGGAGGCCGAAGTGGGTAGATCACTTGAAGTCAGAAGTTTGAGATCAGCCTGGCCAACATGGCAAAGCCCCACTTCTAACAAAAATACAAAAAAACTAGCCAGGCATGGTGGCACACCATGTAATCCCAGCTAATCTGGGAGGCTGAGTCATGAGAATCATTTGAACTTGGGAGGCAGAGGTTGCAGTGAGCTGAGATCGTGCCACCACACTCTAGCCTGGAGAAAGAGTGAGACTCTGTGTGAGACTCTGTCTCAAAAAAATAAAATAAAATAAAAAGTTCTAACATGTTCTTCTGGTAGTTTTGAATATTTAAAGCCCCAGGTGTATTAGCTTTTATCGACAGTCCCCTACTCACAATGGTTTGACTTACAATTGTTTGATTTTATGGTGCCAATGTGATACACACTCAGTAGAAACTGTACTTCAAGTACCCACATAACCATTGTTTCAACTTTCAGTATAGCATTCACTGAATTACGGGAGCTCTTCAGCATTCTGTTGTAAAACAGGCTTTGTGCTATAAGATTTTGCTCAAGCGTAGGCAGATCCAAGTCTTCTGGGCATGTTAAAGGCAGGCCAGGCTGTAGACCATGATGTTTGGTAGGCTGCTTGTATTAAACACATTTCTGACACAATATTTTTAACTTATGATGAGCTTATTGGGATGTAATCCCATCCTGAGTCAAAGAGCATCCATTCTAAGTCTGGACTGAAAAAATAAATGTGAGGGAAATTAGAAGAGAAAGGCCAGCAGAACGGAGTAGCCCAGCCTGCCTCACACAAATGTCGCTGGAGTCTTTCTCAGAAGTCTCAGAGGGGACATCGGGGCTCCCACGTGTGCACCATGGCAGCCTCACGCACACACACGCCTTCAGAGACCGCCAGTGCCGCTTTCCACAAACATCACCCCACCCCCGGGTGCAAACGAAACGCTCCCACCTGTGTTTGGGGCCACCTCGGTGGGCCGGGACCACACACTTCCCACGCACTCAGCATTGCTGAGGCACAACGAACACTCAGGAAGAAGAGCAGAGGAAGCAGGATCCAAAACAGGCCTGGAGCCTCCAAACTGAATGTTGAATCCTCATGCCCTACTGCTATGCGAGAATCTATCAGCTTTAAAAGAATTTCAAAATTTAGACACAATGTTTTCTTACTGCATTTACTATTATTTCAACTAGAGCGAAATAGAACTATGTAGACATACTGGCCCTGAGCTATATTAATTTAGGTTATAATTTTCTGTTATTGAGGTCTGTTGGCTTTACACAGTTAACATGAGCAGGGTTAGAAGTAAATACTTAAATAACCCTTTCTCTATTCTACACAAACAGCACCCTAAAAGCTTTAGAGAATGTGCAAACTCCAAAATCAAGTCTCGCTCTGAGTCTGGCCTCCTGGAGGCTGGGCTCCACCACTACCCCTGGGGAGGGAGAACTGCTGGAGACGCCTGTGCCGGCAAATCCTGCAGGAGGCGCTGTCCCCACACCCGGCTCCAGGAGAAGCACAGATAAAACCCTGGAGAAACCCAACACTGCTTTCCCCGAGGACTGGAGAGACTGACTCATTTCTTGTTGTTTTTTTAAAGAACTTGTAATAAAAAAAAATACAAGGTGATTATTAATCTATTTCTCAAAACACGCTAATGACCCCAAACACACGATCTTGTGGGATGTATTAATAATTCAGTCACTGTCTACCACTCGGGACATTGATGCGGTATTGATGTTTAGGGAATCGATGTGAGTCAGCGCCTCTGCTCTCCTTTCAAGAATTTTATTTTCTGCCACAGCCGAGTGGCTCCTGAAGTCTGCTGTTTCCAGGTGAGAGGAGCAGGCAACGCGGGGCGCAGGCCAAGGCCTCCTCCTCCAGCACTCACCTCTCCCCTCCACGCTGATCTCACGCCAGACAAACCCGGGGAAGTCACAGCCCTGCCCTACATCCCCAGAAGCCTGCGCTTTTATGGAAATAACGCCCACAAAGAGAAAACTGGAAAACTGCATGCCGCGCACAGGACGCTGATGAGGTCCCAGGTCACAGCATCGTTCCTAAAATGACCCCACACTTAGACCAGCAGCTTCATATTCAGTCATTTGCTCAGCAAGGGAACTCAGTAGCCAGGTCACTCGAGGGCCTCTTTCAAACCATTCATGGTTCCAACCCTTCTTCCCTGGTAAGGTCTACCCAAATCACAACTGCCCCCAAACTCCTCCTGCCACTGCCCAAACCACACACTCACAAGGACATCTCCAGTATCGCCTGCTGTGGGCTCCATCTACTTCCATGGCCACCCTGTGAGGCTCTGCACTGGCGATAACTGTGCCCGACTCACCCTCATTCACTTGCCTTAACTCCAATGTGCCCCCCTCTCCTCCTGCACAGGGTCCCCATCTGGGGCCATGGCTTCTCTGCACTTTCCTGTCACTGTGCTCACACACCCCATCTGGTGCCAGATGGGGCCAACCTCAGGGGACAGCAGGAACACAAGCTCCTCCTTGAGTTCCCAGGTGCCAGCAGTGTCTGACACGCGGCTGGCGTCCATGGGGGTTACGCGTGAACAGTCGGTACTGTTTACACTTCAGTGCACTTTTGATGGACTGATACCATTTACCCACCCAGACCCCAAAGGCAGGAGTGATTTGTTATGCTTATGTTTCCTCTCAAGGCTACCAGTCTCCTGTATACAAGAAACGTGCAGTAACACAAACCATTCGTGTGAATGGTGGAACATTTGCAGGATCTCAAATTTACTATCAAATATCCCATAAACAACATGATGGGTCATAAAAGATAGCAAGAATCTACGTAAAAACAATTTTAAGGCTGGACACGGTGGCTCATGCCTGTAATCCCAGCACTTTGGGAGTCCGCGGCGGGCGTATCACTTGAGGTCAGGAATTCGAGACCAGCCTGGCCGACATGGTGAAACCCCGTTTCTACTAAAAATACACACACGCACAAAAATTAGCTAGGCGTGGTGGTGGGTACTGTAATCCCAGCTACTTGGGAGGTTGAGGCAAGAGAATTGCTGGAACCTGGGTGGTGGAGGTTGCAGTGAGCCGAGATCACACCACTGCACTCCAGCCTGGGCAACAGAGTGAGATTCCATCTCAAAAAAAAAAAAAAAAAAAAAAAAAAAATTAAATTGTTTAACATGAAGAACATTTTGACATCAATATGACAATCAAGTGAGAAACTTTTTAGAAACATGTTCTTCAAAAACAGAAAGAAAGTGCTAGGCACATAACTCTGCGAGGTCCCAATACTTCTGAGCACTAGTAAAACCACCTTATTCAAAACTAAAAAGCAAGCAAGACACGTGTGTACACACATATATTACTTCACTTTTTTTAAAGTATTAAAAAAGGCCAGGCGTGGTGGCTCACACTTGTAATCCCAGCACTTTGGGAGGCCCAGGCGGGCAGATCATGAGGTCAGAAGTTCAAAACCAGCCTGGCCAACATAGTGAAACCCCATCTCTACTAAAAACACAAAAAGTTAGCCAGGCGTGGTGGTGTGCACCTGTAGTCCTAGCTAACTTGGGAGGCTGATGCAGGAGAATTGCTTGAACCCAGGAGATGGAGGTTAAGTGAGCCGAAACTATGCCATTGTACTCCAGCCTGAGCGACAGAGTGAGACTCTGTGTCAAAGAAAAATATATATATATATAGATACATATAAAAGTATTAAAAGAAAGAAAAAAATTAAGTGCTTCCAGACACTACTGAGCCATAAGATCTGCTGAGCTTTCTTTTCTTAAGGAGTAGAGAGCCTAAAAGATTTAAAATTAAGAAAATTGCATTCAACTAAAATGAGTCTGTAACTGAATGTGTGTGCTGCAATCCCGCCTGCTGTTGAGTTTATGGCAGCGTCCAAGACATTCTAGCCAGTGATTAAATGCGTGAGGCACGTGTCAACTTCTGCTGACGCATGCACTTACCTTTAAGAGCATCCAGGAAATGCAGGTAAAGGGCGTGCTCATCTCCAGGAGCAATGTGGTCATAGCTAGATAGTGGCCAGCTCGGAGATTGACCAAGCAGCCAAGAAACCCAAGAAAGGCAAAGAGATGGTGGACAACCAGAAACAAGTCAAATGTCCGGAAGGCCACGCTGGACAGGTGGACTGCGACATTTTCAAAGAAAAAGAATCCCGTTGCCGTTGTGATGTGAAACCAGCACCAGTTCTGTTGGCCACGTGCCCTGTCAGCATGAAGCACAGGGTCCCCCAGCAGAGCCCACAGGCCCGCGGCTGTGCTCTGAACACCAAAGACTGCACGCGTGGCCGCCAGGTCCCAGAAGACCTTCTCTCTGGCCACCAGAGAACGGTAAGTGGCATTCAGGGAGGAGGACAGCTGGTGGCAGACCACGAAGACGCCCAGGTAGAAGACAAAGCCAGCGACCATCAGCGTGGAGCGGATCCCCCAGGATGCATAGTCCAGGTCAAAAATGCTCTCTGATGTGCCCCCATCGCTCGCAGGATTCATTGTCCACACTGTATTCCAAAGGAGTCCTGGGCCCAACACGGGCCGGGCCCTACACTGTGTCTTGTCCAAGGAAACGAAGTCCGTGCAGCAGTCCCTGGGACTGTCATGTGTCCATCTTCAATCTAAAGAAAGAAAAGATCATTCATTTTATGTTGACTCAACAGAAGCAAGGACACATCACTACCCCAGTAACGCAAACATTCAACGACAAATTAATTCTGTACCTTATTCTTAATGCATTTACTAGGATACATAAACATACCAAGATAATATCCACTGACAGTATAGGAGGAAAGAAAATGAAACTAAAGCTAGAGCGGTCCAGCCATGAACAGGAGGCTGGAGCAGTGCTGGCAGGAACACGAGGTCTTATGCTCGTCCTATGTGCACCCCACCAGCAAGGCTCCCGCCTTCACAGCAGCCCCGGTCAGTCACACAATTCAAGCATCGCAGGATGAAACATACTTAACTCGTTGCACTGGGATACACTTTGTTACAGCACTGAACTTCTGCTGTTTGATCCTAGTTAACACCCCAAGGATGTCATGAGAACCTGTGCTCCTGTTCTTCGTGTTATTCCTTGGTTAAGGCCATGGAACGGCTTCTCAACACCGGCAGGGAAGTCCTGAACTCCTGATTGTGGCCTATGGCACTCTGCAGAACGCGGCCTTCTATGGTTCCACTCTCACCACCCCAGCATCTCACTCCATGCTACAGCCTTCCAGTCCTTTGAAAACATCATGCTCTCCTGCACCTCCGGGCCTCTGCAGCTGCTGGGCCCTCTCCCTGGAAAAGTCTTTACCTCCCCGCAGGTGGCACCATCTCACCTGTCAGGTCCTCACTTAAAGGCCATTTGCTCCAGATGCCCTCCCAGAGTAGGGGAGTCCCACGGACTGGGTTAAGTATCTTTGCTACAAGCTCCTGATGCATCCCCCAAATACTCATTTTTGATACAAGTGCTTACTAAATCCTCACCTCCACTGGACAGCAAGCTCTGTGAGGGCACAGACCACACCTGCCTTCATCACAGCATCTCCTCTGCCTGATGCAGCACTGGGTCCACAGCGGGCCCTCACGAAACATTTATGGAACACATGAACAGACACTGAATCATGCTCAAGGGGTCCAGTTTACCTAATCCTGAACCTGTCTGCAAAGCTACAAACACCAGAGTCTCAAGTTCTCAAAACTGGAAGGGACCTGTGATTGATTCCAGCCTTTCCTTTCACATGGCAGGAACCCCAGGCACACAACGAGGACATAGGAACGGCTAGCGACAAAGCCTCAGATCCCCCTCTCCCCCCCTCACCCAGTATGTAGGGACTTGCCCAGATAATGGAGTTTCTGCCGGGAGTGGGGACTCTTGTCACTCATACCCAGCGAACAGACAGCAGGGCTGGGAGCACCTCACTCCCCAAACAGCTAGACCCTCTGCTCTCTGGAAAGGACCCCAGAATTGACTGAATTGTGAGGCAGCACGACTAGAGCCAGAAGCATAGGAGGGGCCACTCACTGTGGCCATTCAGCAAAAACTCGCCAATCATTATTCAGGCAAAAAGGTCGCTGTGACCACACCCCAAGGGCATGGGAAGCACCAGCTCACTCCAGCCTGCACTGAATGTGAGTCCTGGGACCTGATGCAAATGACAAGGGAGCACTGATAACTCCCAACCTCTTGGTTTGATAATGGTCATGTAATCAAAGGCAAAAATAGTATGAGTGTTTGTCTGTTTCTCCATCGACACTCCAGCTTTAACACAGACTAGCTCTGTGAGAACACAGATCTGATGCCGGGAAAGACAGCACTGGCATTCATGTTTCTCCCTAGAGAAACGGCTCCCGTGTCACGCTGCCCCTGGTGCATGTGTTCAGGGCACACAGGTGTGCTCTCTGATAGATGCTATGGATGACGACTGAGGGGCTGCTGTGCCCACGTGTGCCCTCGTGACCCACACTTCTGGTCATGCTATATCGAGACTCCAGTGCACTTACACATCTCCAAACGCACTTCTGTTAACTTGTACACAAACCAGGTTGAACATGGTATTAAGGGGCTGGCAAGAGCACTTGGCTCTGGTATTCAGTGTGCAGCAAGGCATCGCTGAACCCCTATGCGCTTCACAGAGCAGATCAACTTCAAGTGCAGCCTAATGCCTGGAGGGGAGACGGCTTCCCAGCATTAAAGAAAAGCAGGCTGGGTGGAAAGGACAGGTGTCAAGCACAGAATAGCAATCCATTAAAAGGATTCCCCTGAACAACACTGTTAAAGGTTAAAATATGGACCCCTCCTAAAACTTCTTCCTGTGCTTTTCCACAAGTGGGTCATGAGATCTGGGTTACAGGTCCCATTTTGCCACAGGTGCATCAATGTGCTGCTCTTGGCCAAGACCACTAACTTCTGTGGGACCTTTGCCTTGAGACGAGAGAGTCCCCGACTCCAGAAGGCTCTGCCCAGAGCAGTGACTCAAACCCACCTCAGTGGAAGTGGTCAGCCCAAGTGATGACTCAAACCCACCTCAGTGGAAGTGGTCAGCCCAAGTGATGCTTCAGGAGGTCTTTGGTTTGGTCAAGGTGAGAAGGACTCCAGGACATGAGAACCAAAAACCAAGAAGAGCAGTTGGCTTAGTGGGTTCTGATCTTGGTTTCTCTATTTAGAAGCTAAGAACACAAGTTTCAGGCCGGGCGCAGTGGCTCACGCCTGTAATCCCAGCACCTTGGGAGGCCAAGGTGGGTGGATCACTTGAGGTCAGGGGTTCAAGACCAACCTGGCCAACATGGCCAAACCCTGTCTCTACTAAAAATACAAAAATTAGCCAGGCGTGGTGACGCACACCTGTAGTTGGAGCTACTCAGGAGGCTGAGGCAGGAGAATTGCTAGAACCCAGGAGGTGGAGTTTGCAGTGAGCCGAGATCACATAACCGCACTCCAACCTGGGCAACAGGGTGAAACTCCATCTCAATTTTAAAAAGAAAGAAAGAAAACGAGTTTCTTTCTTAACCACCCTGGACCCCAGTGTCTGACTACGGGAAAAAGAAACACACAGAGCAGGCCGGGTGCAGTGGCTCACACCTGTAATCCCAACACTTTGGGAGGCCAAGGTGGGTGGATCACAAGGTCAGAAGTTCGAGACCAGCCTGGCCAACATGGTCAAACCCCATCTCTACTAAAGATACAAAAAATTAGCCAGGCATGGTGGCATGTGCCTATGATCCCAGCTACTTGGGAGGCTGAGGCAGGAGAATCACTTGAACCCGGGAGGTGGCAGTTGCAGTGAGCTGAGATTGTGCCACTGCAATCCAGCCTGGGCAACAGGTTGAGACTCTATCTCAAAAAGAAAAGAAACATACAGAGCAGTGGAAATGAAGCACCTACTATGAGCCAGATGTTCAACCAGTTTGTGTGATCTTCACCTGAAGAGCACATAGCTACCAGGTCTTCAAGTTTTCCAGATAACTTTTTGGAGAGATTACCATATCTACAGAAAAATGGCAGATAGGTGAAAGACACTGAAACAGAAACAAGTGAGCCAGAGCTGAGAGTGGGCAAACCCTCCAGGCAGTCAGAGAACAGGTGCCAGTTAGGGATGCAGAAACAGCAGATTATAAAGACCAGAATGCTTACCGCCCCTTCCAATCCTGTAGCGAATCCCTGTTCTGATTCTTTGCTCAGACCTCCTGATTATGTGTGTTTCTACACAGTAGTGTGCACAGGAACTTTCTGGGTAAGCTGGTGCTGTTCTAGTCTAACTTGTGACTGTGCATCTCTGAGCTTCGTTAGTGCCAACCAGCATCTTCCAGCCAGGAGTTCACAAAGGAGGTGAACTCCTCAGCTCTCTCAGCCATGAGGGTAGAAGGCCAGCCCCAGAGGCAGGGTCCCGCCCAAGTGGCCAGTCTTCCTGGAGTCCTGCAGAGCTCTGCTGTCCCTTTGTGGTGTCAGTGTTGTAATGAGAACAGCTGTGGTTCGCCCCAAGTCACAAGGCAGGCACCCACAGAAGTGTGACTGGGCCTTGTTCTGATAGGCAGCAGAGAAGGGCTATGGGAAGAGTTCAGCTTCTCCTTTTGTTTCTATTTCTGCTCCTTGACCCAACCACACCCTCTCACTCTTGATATGCAAAATGGGACACAGGGGTTCCCACTGTTGCCTTGCTGTGCTCCATAGGCTCAGGCCACACAAAGGAGTCCTTAAGTGTAATGCACAGCTGGAAGTCCCTGTTCCTTCCATGGGAAAAACTGGAGGCCAAACCTAATGGACTTATCCTGTTCTTTCACTCTGGAAGGCTTCCAAGCCCTTCCACACCAGCCCCTTTCCTCTCTGCAGTAGAGAAAGTAGAGCCGGCGAAGAAACAACTCCTGGAAGGCCACCATCTCTTGACTCTGCAGATCTTCATTTTCTTTGGGGAAAATGTATACAAAAAGCTTGTCTTCTAAGATTCTGTGGTTTCAGCTCTTCTATTGCACTGAGCCATGCAGTTTTTAGAAATCTGAATGCAAACACATCAGTAAGAGTGTTAGCTCTGTTGCTGCACTGTGACCAGGAACCAGGCTCAGTGGCCACAGGAACCCTTCGGCTCTGTCATGCATCTATGCGCTCCTCCGGTTTACTAGGGGCTGAACTGCTAAGGATACCAGCATTTTTGTGTTTTGTTGAGATAATTTATCCAAACTTGGAAGTGAAGTCAAAAAGGAAAAAATGGTTGCATGCTTTTTTCCCTAACACAAGTTGAGTGTTTTACAACCCCAACAATCACTGGACTTTCTAGGAGAAATAACTAAACTATTTACCACTGATTGAGGGTCACACATTTTACAATCTGCAAAGTGAATTCTCCTTCCATCAAGAAGAAAAGACAATCCCAAAGCCTGTGGCTTCAATGCACACAGGATATTCACCAATCTTATATCTAATCCGGCAATCTTTTCTCAGCATTCCTTTTACCCACTCACTAAGAAAATCCTAGTTTTGTGTATTCTCTTTTGAACTGGCACTCCTATCCTGCTGGATACTGCATTAGTGACTGAAATATAACCTGACAAGAGCTATTTACATGAGAATTATACTCCTAACATTTTGGAAATTATACATTGATGGCTGGTAAAAATATGTTTTCCAAAATCAAAAGAAATACATGTTTAATACACAAAATTCAGAAAATATAAACAAGCATAAAAATACAAAAATAAACACTCACAATCCTCTTACACAGCTCCAAGCACTATCACTATTTTTTGGTGCCTGCTGCATCAATTGTTTTTCTAGATATAAACTCTTCCTTTTTACATAAAAGGGGATAACAACATACAAGCTGCTCCCTGGCCTGCTTCTCTTCTCTTAGCAACAGCTAATCCTCTTCGGTAAAACGGCTGCAGGGACTCCACCATTTACCCACCCGATGTCCTGCCAGGCTTTTGCCCAGTTCCTCGTTATCATGAGACATTCTGTAGTGAACATCTTGAGGCCACCTGGAGAACCTGTGCTCTTTTTACGGAAACTGCATGCTCAGGAAGAACTTCCTTAAAAACCACAGCCTCGATGACAGCCAGTCTGAAAGGCAGGCACAAAAGTGTTCAAGCTCCGTGGGGAGCTGTGGCCATCTCATAATCCCTCCATCACTTACGCTTCCTTCACCATTGCTCACTGCTTTTTCCTCTCACAGCCTTCCTGAAAAGTTGTATGTAAATAAAACTCAAAATATGGGAGTGAGGTAAGCAGAAGCTGGATAGTTACAGATTTCACACAGAGGGTAAACGGAAACAGGAGTCAGAAACAGCCGCCTCGCCCCAGTCTTTCAGAGAACAGTCACAGCAAAATCTACACAGGCTGGGGAGCCCCTGGCTCCTCTCCTTACTGTCCACACCCAACCCCAACCCAGAGCAGCTGGCGATAGGGCCCAGAGCCCAGGCGGCTCCCACCCGCTGCTGACCCGACCCAGCGCCCGCTCTCTCCCTCCCGCCCCCCACCCACTCTGCACACCTTGGTGACCTGACCCAGCGCCCCTCCCCGCTCCTGCACGTGCGACTGACCCAGCGTCCCTCCCCCCTCCTACACGTGCTGACTGACCCAGCCTCCCTCCGCCTCCCACACCCTGTTGAGCACCACCTAGTCCCCTTCCGCCCCAGCTAACTCGGTGACCACTGGAGGCCACACCCACGTGACACCTGCTGTCCTTGACAGCAGTTCCGACAGCACCTCTGTGGCTCCGCAGGAGCCGCCTCCCTGCCTCGTGGGCACACAGGTGAGCTGACCATACTTGCCCGGCCGGTCTGCGGGGAGCGAGGTCAGGGGCGACGCCGCCGCCTCCGCCTCCGCCTGTCCCCTCCCACAGTCCGGCCTCCGCGCCGCTCAAGGGCTCCAAAGTCAGCGTCGCGGTGAGGAGCCCCCCAGGCCCACCATGCACCCGCGCGGGCAGAACTCCGGGCTGCAGGGCTCGAACGCCCCCCACAAGCTACTGTCCGGAAACGGCACGGCCGGGGGTGCCGCACGCCCACCGGAAGGCAGGGCTGGGACGGCGGACGCTAGGAGCCACCCCGACCCCTCACCCGGGCTCCCTTACCTGGGCTCCCCGACCCCTCACACGGGCTCCCTTACCTGGGATCCCCGACTCCTCACACGGGCTCCCTTACCTGGGATCCCCGACCCCTCACCAAGGCTGCCCCTCACGTGGGCTCCCGCGCGCCCATCTGAGTTCCCCCTAAGCTGAGTTCCCGGCCCCTCACCTGGGATCCCCGGCACCATCACCCGGGCTTCCTGGCCCCCTCACCTGGGCTCCACGCGCCCTCACCTGGGCTGCCCCTCACCTGGGTTCCCGGCCCCTCGCCCGGCTCCCCGCGCGCTCACCTGGGCTGCCCCTCACCCGGGCTCCCTGCGCTTGACGCCGCCGCGCGCCTGCAGGACTCACGGCAGTCACTGACGGCACTGCCGCCGGCTCACGACTGGCCGGCCTCAAACACGGCCGGCGCACGCGCACGCGCACGCGCACTGCCTCGGGGGCGTGGCTACGAGAGGCCCCGCCTAGGCGCTACCACGGCGGCGGGCGTGGGGGGCGGGGCGGCGGGCGCGCTGAACCTCGGCCGGCGGGAGGGGCGGGGCCGGCGGGAGGGGCGGGGCCTGGCTGAACCCTGGCGGGCGGGGTGAAGGGGGCCGTGGAGCTCCGCGGGCCGCCTGGTCGCGTTGCACCCGGAGTGAGGCGAGGGGACCTGAAAGCTGCGGCAGAGCCCGACCGCGCCGTTCCGCAGAGCAGCCCTGGCCCGGCTGCGGCTGAGTCGCGCTCTGGGTGTGGACGGAGCCGGAACCTCCCCGGGGCGCGCGCTGAGGTCACGGGGCCCAAGTCCCGGGCCTTCAGGTCTTGACCGAGCCCATCCCCGGCCCTTCTGCGCCCACGCCTGAGTTTTTGTCTGTAGGAGTTTCAGCAGTTCGCTAAGGTTGTTATTCGAGTTATTTATGTTTCTTCTCTCTAATATGTTTGTTCCCTCTTTAAAATCGACATCTAGAGTCGTACCTACCACTTAATTGGTGATCAATACAGTTCGTTGAAAGAATCGATAGCATGCGATCGATACAGAACATCTGCACAGGGAGTGTCCTCCCCGCCTGGCGGGGGAGGCCTCGGGGGCTAATGGAGCTGAGGGTATAGTCGGCCTTGGACCCTCGCTTTTTTCCTTTCCTGTACCGTGAAGATAACTGCCTTATCTCCCCCTCATGACTGTTTTGGGGATTAAATAGGACGTTTAAATTACCAACGCTCTTTGAAATAAACATTTCAAAATTATTATAACCCTTTAGTACACGTGGGAAAACGTTGACATTCATGTTCAAGTTTATTTTTCTGCTGGCTCATTTAGGTTTGTTGAAACCTTGAGTCCCTAGGATTGTCTAAGAACATGGGTAAATGTATGTGGAGGCCTCCCTGGAGGCCGGAGAACTGCCAGCAGTGTTCATGGTGTTAGAGGAAGAGGAACCTAGGAGAGCCAGGGTGACACCGTTTTAAAATCAACCCATCCTTTGGGAGGCCGAGGCAGGCGGATCACAAGGTCAGGAGATTGAGACCACAGTGAAACCCTGTCTCTACTAAAAATACAAAAAATGGGCCGGGCGCGGTGGCGGGCGCCTGTAGTCCCAGCTTCTCGGGAGGCTGGGGCAGGAGAATGGCATGAACCCAGAAGGCGGAGCTTGCAGTGAGCCAGGATCGCGCCACTGCACTCCAGCTTGGGCGACTGAGCGAGACTCCGTCTCAAAAAAAAAAAAAAAAAAAAAATCAACCCATCGTGGCCGGTGCGGTGGCTCACGCCTGTAATCCCAGCAGTTTGGGAGCTAGAGGTGGGTGGAACACCTGAGGTCAGGGGTTTGAGACCAGCCTGGCCAACATGGGGAAACTCCGTCTCTATTAAAAATACAAAAAAATTAGCCAGGTGTGGTGGTGGGCACCTGTAATCCCAGCTACTTAGGAGGCTGAGGCAGGAGAATTGCTTGAACCCAGGAGGCGGAGGTTGCAGTGAGCCGAGAACACGCCATTGCACTTGAGCCTGGGCAATAAGAATGAAACTCTGTCTCAAAAAAATAAAAATAAAATAAACTCCATCTTAAAACCAGTGAAACCACCGTTGCAAAATTATAACTGAGACAGTGAGAGAGACAGTGAGAGATCTGACCTAACCAGCTCCATCCTGCTTTTAACCTCCAAACTGTCCTTGTTCATTCCTGGGTGTAGGCCAAAGTAACTCTGGGAGAAACTTGGTTTATAGTTTCCCGAAACAAATCCCTTTCTTGCCTGGGGACTAGACTGCCTTTGTAGGACTGACAAATTAGCCACAAGATTAGAAATTATGGCTTAGGATTCATGCAGCTGGAGGTTACAAGATTCTGACCCTCCCTAAATTGCTCCTGGGGATAACATCACTATTGAAAAAGCTAAGATCAGCGCTTGAAATATTTTGCAGATCTTGCACTTGCTGGATCAGCTGGGACCATCCAGATGGATAAACTGGCTCATCTCATCTTGTGGCCCCCACCCAGGAACTAACTCAGGCCAGGAGTACAGCTTTGATCCATATGCTTTCATCTCTGATCTGACCTCTCAGTACTCCCAGCTTACTGGTCCCCTACCTACCAAATTATCCTTAAAAACTCTGAACTCCAGGGCTGAGCATAGTGGCTCACACCTGCAATCCCAGCACTCTGGGAGGCCGAGGCAGGTGGATCACTTGAGGTCAGAAGTTCAAGACCAGTCTGGCCAACGTGGCAAAACCCCGTCTCTACTAAAAATACAAAAATTAGCCAGGCATGGTGGTACACACCTGTAATGCCAACTACTTGGGAGCCTGAGGCAGGAGAACTGCTTGAACCCTGGAGGCAGAGGTTGCAGTGAGGTGAAATTGCACCACTGCACTCCAGCCTGGGCAACAGAGCAAGACTCCATCTCAAAAACAACAACGAAAACTCTGAACTCCGAATTCTTGGGAAGATTGATTTGAGTAATAATAAAACTCTGGTCTCCCGCACAGCGAGCTCTGTGTGAATTATTCATTCTCTGTGCAGTTCACCTGTTTTGATAAATCAGCTCTGTCTAGGCAGCAGGCAACACGAGCCCGTGTGGTGGTTACACTAGCCTGTAATCCCAGCTACGTGGGAGGCTGAGGCGGGAGAATTGCTTGAACCTGGGAGGCAGAGGTTGCAGTGAGCCAAGATCATGCCACTGCACTCCAGCCTGAGCAACAGAACGAGACTCCATCTCAAAAAAAAAAAAAAAAAAAAAAAAAATTGGATGGTTATAGTCATGCTAAGATGTAGGTACGCACTGAAATGCCACAAAGTACATCCACAAAGTACTAGATTTTGTCACACCGTCAGCCCAGCTGCACTTACACATAGCTTGGCTTATACACTGATACAAGATGCCTTTGAAAGAAAGATGGCACCTTCCTCCTCCTGCTTTCCACAGGCACCCCACTCTGCATCAGAGCAGCTGTCTTTCACTGCACTCTGCGACTCCCTTGAGCTCCTCCCTGCGCAAGATCCGAGAACCCTCTCTTGGAGTCTGGACTGGACCCCTTTCTCCAGCAGCATTGGGTTCCTCGGATTCACACTCACAGCATGCTGAGGCCTGTCTTACAAAGAATGAACTGAGGCTTAGAAAGATGAAACCAAAACCTCCTCAGTCACGTGGCTGGTAAGTTCCTCAGCTTGAATTTAAACATTCCAGGACTGCGTCTTTCCACTCGGCCATCTTTAAAGCAGAATGATAAAACAGTTTTGTTTTCTAAAAAACAATCACAGGTATAACCAGTACTCATGTGGGATGTGGAAGACTGAATGAAACCCAGGCGGATTCCCAGCTTGCTGTGTCACAGCTTGGGCACTGCTGTTTACAGCCTGTGTACTCCCCTCCTGCCCTGCCTCCCACAGGTGTCTCACCTCCTTCCCCGACAGATCGAATGACACAACAAACGTTCATCTTGGGCGCACGGTGTATCTGGCAGTAGGCTAAGCCCTTTGGTAAATTGGTTCTTTCAAACATCACAGGTGTCTGAGGCAGGCACCATTATCCACATGTCATAGAAAAAAAACGTAATTCAAACTTCAGCGGCTGAGGTTAGCAATGTGCACCTCCACACACTGCTAAATGACAAAGCTGAAGTTTGAAGTACGATGCCATGAGGTGTCTGGAGAAGACAATCGAGATGACTTAATCGAGGTGTCAGGGGACTGTCTTACTCTTATTTTCTGCTCACCTAAGCAATATACGCTCATTGCGAGGTTTGGTTGTTCCACTACAGAAAAGACAGACTGTTTTAAAAGCCATTAGCAGAGGGACGGGAGGAGTTCTCTTCTGCCTGTTTCTTCCTCCTAAACAGAGCAAAATGACTGTGTTCTCAGAGGGCTGTATAGTGAGCGAGAGAGGAAGAAGAACGTCCCTGATTTTAAATCCACAGTGTCCTTCACCAGTGAGCAATAGGAGTTCTGTGGGTGGGAGAGCAGGACTGCTGTGCTTGCAAACAACACTTTAAACACGGGAACCTAAGTTCAGGATCTGCTGACAGCAAGTCCGCAGTAAGCATAAGGGTCTTTGGACTCCCACAGATCAGATGCTCAGCTTCTCAGCCTCACTGTGGCAAAGACTCTCCCTGACCTAACTCCAGGCCCTCAGGGCTCTGACCTGGGCCCCTGGCCCCTTCCGTCCAAAAGAATCCTGCTGAGTCAATGCAGTGACAGTTCCCTGCCCTGGTATCTGACCATCCTCCTCATCCCGCACCCCCTGATATCTGACCATCCTCCTCATCCCCCCCCCCGATATCTGACCATCCTCCTCATCCCCCACCCCCTGATATCTGACCATCGTCCTCATCCCCCACCCCCGATATCTGACCATCCTCATCCCCCACCCCCTGATATCTGATCATCCTCCTCATCCCCCACCCCCGATATCTGATCATCTTCCTCATCCCCCACCCTCAGTATCTTATCACCAGGCCTGCCTGCGGCAGAAATCCTGCCAAGTGGTTCTAACAAGAACCCCCCTGGCCTGATGTCACCTCTTCATAGTTTTCCATCTGCCCTCACCTGCTCCATGGCTGTGCATTCCCATTTTTCTTGTCATACTCAGAGTTGAGCCCAGTCCCACTGCAGTGGCCCCGCACCTATCGCGATTCCCTTGAGACTGTAAAACAAAAATAAAATTCTAGTCCCCCACAAACCCCCTCGGCCACAAGCTTTCCAAAGTAAACCTTAGAGACTAGCTCAGACCGTGATGGGAAGTGGGGGTCGGACAGGCTCCTTATACCCTCCTCCCGTTGAAATCCAGGCACAGCTGACCTGCATTAACATCAAAGCAGAGATCTTAAGACTGACAAAGCAGACTCTCTGCAGCAGTAAGATACTACATACCTGACTCTAGTACAGCATCACATGACAGAGAGCAGGCCCTGGAAGAAATCAAGCATTTTACCCCAGAATATATTTATTTGACATATTTTGAAGGGGCCCCACACAGCTGTCTCTCGAGGGGAAAATCCACGTCCCGCCAGAATCCCCTTCCCTTTCCAGGTCTTTTCCCTGATCTAAGAGAGATTTAACTAAGAGTCTGGCACCTCTTTTAGGTCCAATAAGAGCTCTGAAGATAAAAAACAAAAACAAAAACAAAAAAACCTTGGTCTCCACAACCTTTATCTTAACCCAGACAATCCTTTCTGTTCATTCCAGGTCTTTACAATAATAACTTAACTCTTTCAATTAATTGCCCATCAGAAAATCGTTGACTCCACCTGTGACCTGGACACCTCCTACCTCTATCCCTGGAGTTGTGTCACCTTTCTGGACCAAACCACTGGACACCTTACACGTATCGACTGGCAACGTGTACACCTCCACACACTGCTAAATGACAAAGCCGAATTTTGAAATACGATGCCATGAGGTGTTTGGAGAAGACACAACTGAAATGATGTCATGGAGGTGGCAAGGGATCGTCTTGCCCTTTTCTTTTTTTCTGCCTGTAACTTCTGTCCCCCTAAAATGCATAAAATCAAGCTGGAATCCAACCACCTTATGCACCAGTTCTTAGGACCTCCTGGGGTTGTGTCACCAATCATGGTCCTCATATTTGGCTCAGAATAAATCTCATCAAATATTTTACAAATTTGACTCTTTTTGTTGACAAGTCTGTCGCACCGTTTTTTAATAAGGGCCGTGTGTAATGTTTTCTTTAGCAACTGTGGCAAAATTAAACCTTCTTCGAAATAAAGAGAAAAAGAACCCATTATAGAAAACTGTCTTTCTGCTGATGTGGGCATTCACTGTGTTCATTTCTTTTTCCAAAAAGTGTATCTTTCTTAAAAACTGAAAAATATTGAGCCACAAAACACAGTGCCGATGGCTTGCATGCGGGACACTCGGGATATCGTACTAAAGGGCTCTGATGCTGTCTTGATGATCTCTACGCAGGGTGTTACTTCTGCTGGCTGTGTGACCTTGGAGAGGTTGCTTAACCTCTCTGAGCCACAAATGTAAAAGGATGAGATTGGTCCCTAAAGTCTCCTCCAGCATTAAAGCTAGATGATCCTGAATCTTCTGCTATTTGAGGATCAGACAAACAAACAACAGTGGACAGGGTTATTCCTGTTGAAAATGATAACCCTGAGATAATGGCCATAATTATCTTGGTACCCAAAGAAGCCTTAAATCCTCATTGGACGAAGACATTGCCATAATAATCAGCCTTTAAAAAGTGCCCATAACAACCAGCCTTTAAAAAGTGCCCAGGCATGGTGGCTCGCACCTATAATCCCAGCACTTTGGGAGGCTGAGGTGGGCGGATCACCTGAGGTCAGGAGTTAGTGACCAGGTCGATGAAACCTTGTCTCTACTAAAAATACAAAAATTAGCTGGGTGTGGTGGCACATGCCTGTAATTCCAGCTACTCAGGAGGCTGAGGCAGGAGAATTGCATGAACCTGGGAGGCGGAGGTTGCAGTGAGCTGAGATTGTGCCACTACTCTCCAGCCTAGACTACAGAGCAAGACTCCATCTCAAAAAACAAAACAAAACAAAACAAAACAAAAAAAGTGCCCTGACAAGATCACATTGATTCTAGGGCTACAAAGACAGCTATTGTGGGGCCACCATAGCACACCGTCCTCTAGGCCCCTCCCATGGGGACATTGGGCGTGTCTGGAGACGTTTTTGGTTGTCATGACCTGGGGCGAGAGGCCGGTTGCTGCTGCTGACCTTCAGAGCGGAGAGGCTACTAGGCTTCCAACAATGCCCGGGGCAGCCCCACAGTAATGGCCCAGCCCCAACATCAATGGTGCTGAGCTTGAAAAATCTATATCCTGGAAAAGGACACACCTCCGCTTAAAAACTAAAACTGTAGAGAGAGGGACGCTGCACTCAAAGTGGACTTTCTGCTGCCCCAAGTATTAGGTCTTCTTTCCAGCTTCATCTCGTGGAATGATACCAAATGGCACTTGAGTGACCTAAAAGATTTTAGTGCAGCTTTAGGAAATGCTTAATTCAGGCCGGGCATGGTGGCTCACCCCTGTAATCCCAGCACTTTGGGATGCCGAGGTGGGTGGGTCACTTGAGGTCAGGAGTTGGAGACCAGCCTGACCAACATAGTGAAACCCCGTCTCTACTAAAAATACAAAAATTAACCGGGTGTGGTGTTGGTTGCCTGTAATCCTAGCTACTTGGGAGGCTGAGGGAGGTTAATTGCTTGAACCCGGGAGGCGGAGGTCACAGTGAGCCGAGATCGTGCCATTGCACTCCAGCCTGGGCAATAAGAATGAAACTCCGTCTCAAAAAAGAAATAAAAAGGAATGCTTAATTCATACCTATAGAGAAGTACAATCACTTCGATTTATTTTTCATCCCTGTTACTGTTTTAGGAACAAATTTACAGACTGAAACCTCGCCTCCCCTCTCACCCAAACACACAGCATAATATGGTATAAATCAGCTATGTAGATGTATACAAGATATTGAAATTTAGTGAAATTTTGTGTCTTTAAAATGTCAGGTAGAATGTTACAAAGCAGGCAGCTCCAGGAAGCAACTCAGGGAAGTGGTGTATCTGTTAAACACCACACAGTGAAAACTTACCTAAGAGTTTTCTTTCCAAATCTTCCCACACAGCAACGTCGAGTTTAGCTTCACAGACAAGGATGTGAAACTTGGGATCAGCTGGTCAGACACCAAGAACAGGACTTAGGACATAAAATTACAATTCACATTTCCCCCTCTCCTATGAAATAACTAGACCCACAGAGTCGTGAGGGGACGCGATATGGAATGTGCTCTGTCTCACCGGGAATCCGCATTTCACATCCACTCGCGAGTCTCCTGCCTGGGACACGGCGGAGCTGACTCATTCTGAAGATGACTCCGCAGGCATGGAGTTCATTCCGGAGGAGGTTAGAGCCGCTCAGCATGAAGACAGGGTGTAACAGGATGTTGTCTCTGCTGAGGAAGTGGGACTGCCACCCGATGGGCTGTCCATCATCACCCCAGGAGAGGCTGGGCCAGGCTGTGGTGTGTCCAAACCCCTGCCCTCTGGGCAGACCGGTAGTGTCAATCATTTCAAGGTAAAGAGCAGGTGATATGTCAGGACCTGTGACCCGTGTTCAGAGAGCATCTAACACAAGCCAGCTGTCTTTGGAGGGGCAGAGCGGCGGGGAGGTGCTTGTATCTTGTGGGCAGAGGTTTCTCGCCAGACCACAAAGGTGGGGAGGGGTCTGTGTGGGGCCGCTGAGGGGCTTGGAGACTAAAGCCCCATGCCAGTGAGAGAAAACAGGATGGGAAGAGCCAGGGGAATCGGGTGGAGATCCAATCTCTAACTCCGTGGAGGACTTTGTAAGGTTTGGACCCAGAGCAGAGGAAAGTTTAATGCATGACATAGTCTAACCCCTCTGTTAGTTAGACTAACCCCTCTGTTAGTCTATGTCAGGTTGTGTCTATCAAGACCCGAGTCATTCTATCAACTTCTCCCTTTCCCAGAAGGGTCACTTCTCTTTCACTTGCTGGAAAAGGGAGAAGTTCAAGGAATGATGAAGGTCTTGGTAGACTCAACCTGAAGCGGCCCTTAGGAGCCAGCAGATCTGGCAGCCCCAGCAGATCTCACGGGCTTGGAGGTATGTAGGGGAGGAGGATATCACAAGACCAACTGCACAGTCATGGAAGGGACTCTGGGGCCTTGCAGCCAGGCTCCTTCTCCTTCAGTGGCTGATCTCCTTTGAAGAAAGAACTGGCCTGCTTCTGGGCAGGCAGAGATGGCCTGTTGGACCCCAGGGCACCAGGTGAGCAGGTGAACCTACACATGTGCTGTGAACTATCCACTGAGTCACCTGGCCTTCCACAGCTCACTGCATCCTCAGAGCAGGCATGGTGTTGGCATGTCTCGGGACGGCTTGCCCATAGTCCCTACTCTCCACTTTCACCCAGCCTTCCACAAGTTCCCTCTTGGGTGCTTTCCCATGAGTAGTTGTCTGAGGATGAAAAATATGTGTTTGACAGCAGCTTTAGTTGCTGAAGTGTTTTGGAGAAGAAGAATATCACTGTTATACTCTCAGAAAGATCTCAAGTTCTGAAAATATCCGTCATCTCCTGGGAATGCTTGTAAGAAAGTCCTCACCACAAAAGAGAACCAGGCTGATTGACATGTTGAGACCAAATAAAGATATTCAAAACAAATAAAGATAGTCAAAGACAAATAAAGAGACCCAGTTGAGAGGGAAAGCTCAATTTTACATAAGATTGGAAAGTAATTGTTGTGAGTGCCTGGTGATTATCTCAAGCCAGTGGTGTGGTGCAGGGGTTAAGAAGAATTTACCAAGACAGTTGTTGGTAAAGAAAGGCAGATTTATTAGAAAAAGTATGAAAGTACGTTGCAGGGGAGCAATGGGCAGGCCAGCAGGAGAAGAGCTGACTGCCAGGAGACAGAGGCTTGCGGGGGATTTGATAGGACAATGCTCGTGGTGTGTACTGGAGAGGGCTATGTGCAGTGCTGGTAATGCCAAGGTTTCAGGGAGCTAACTTGCAATTTTTATATCAGCCGAAGGTCTGGCTATCACTGGGCACAGGAAGACTGAGTTATTTGTGCAGGGGGTCTGTGTGTCCTGGACCATGAAGAAAGGCAGGCTCACAGCTTATCCACTTTCCTTTTGCTTCCCTTTGGTCCCACCAACCTGAATCCCCCTCCCTGATTAGGACTGTTAGGACTGTCCAATAATGAGTATGCAAGGAAATGACAAACTTTATTTTCTTTTTCTCTTTCTTTTCTTTTCCTTCCTTCCTTCCTTCCTTCCTTCCTTCCTTCCTTCCTTCCTTCCTTCCTTCCTTCCTTCTTTCTTTCTTTCTTTCTTTCTTTCTTTCTTTCTTTCTTTCTTTTCTTTCTTTCTTTCTTTCTTTCTTTCTTTCTTTCTTTCTTTCTTTCTTTCCTTCCTTCCTTCCTTCCTTCCTTCTTTCTTTTTCTTTCCCATGTCTTTCTTTCTTTCCTCCCTCCCTCCCTCCCTCCTTCCTTCCTTCCTTCCTTCCTTCCCTTCTTCCCTTCCTTCCTTTCTTTCTTTTTTTTTTTTTTTTTGACATGGGTTTCCCTCTTGTCACCCAGGCTGGAGTGCAATGGCGCGATCTCAGCTCTCTTGTCACCCAGGCTGGAGTGCAATGGCGCGATCTCAGCTCACTGCAACCTCTACCTCCCAGGTTCACGCCATTCTCCTTCCTCAGCCTCCCAAGTAGCTGGGGTTATAGGCGCCCGCCACCACACCTGGCTAATTTTTTTGTATTTTTAGTAGAGACGGGTTTTCACCGTGTTAGCCAGGATGATCTCTATCTCCTGACCTCATGATTCTCCTGCCTCGGCCTCCCAAAGTGCTGGAATTACAGGCGTGAGCCACCGCACCCAGCCCTTTTTTTCTTTTACTTTTTCCTTTTTTTCTTGAGACCATTTCACTCTTGTCACCCAGACTGGAGTGCAGTGGCGTGATCTCAGCTCACTGCAACTACCACCTCCTGGGTTCAAGCCGTTCTCTTGCCTCAGTCTCCCGGGTAGCTGGGATTACAGGTGCCTGCCACCACACCTGGCTAAGTTTTGTATTTTTAGTAAAGATGGGGTTTCACCATGTTGGCCAGGCTGGTCTCGAACTCCTGACCTCAGGTGATCTGCCCATCTCGGCCTCCCAAAGTGCTGGGATTACAGGCGTGAGCCACCGTGCCCAGCCGGGAATGACAAAATTTCAAAATCACCATCTGGCAACTCCTAATAAAAATAATGAGGCGGGTAAGAACCAGTAATAGATTCCTGAAACCATTAGGCAGAAAGGCAGTGAGGAGCTGCACACCTTGCCACGTACCCAACCCCCCAACTTACGTGCTTACCAGAAGGGGGAAAATGTACCTGCTGATGAGGAGATGAGGCTGCCACCACCTAACTCAGAGGAAGATCTTTGCATCATCACAGTGGGACGTGAGCCACATGCCTTCCAAGGCTGTCCAGTAGGAAGCACACAGGACCACCTGTGCGGGATTCTTGCGTAAATGTTTAACCTAAATCGATAGAACTCTTGATTCACTTACCAGTCTGCAGGAAATACAGGAATAAGAAACAAATTAAATGACACCACAAGGAAACAGACACATTCAGACTTCAGGCATTGTCTTCTCAACAATTCAATGCTATGAAAGAAAAAAAAAAGTGACAGCACTATCCCATTAAATAAGACTTAAGACAGAAAACCAAATGTGTGTCCTGAATTCAATCCGGATGTCTACTAACCAGCTGGAAAATACATTTTTCAAACAGTGGGGAAGTTATGGATATAGCCAGCTTTAGATGATGTTAGATCATTAGTTTTGCAGGATGGCCAGTGGCATTGTGGTTCTACAGGAAAATGTTCTTATTTTTTAGAGATGCATAGAGATGCTTTTAGGGATGAAATGTCATCATGTCCACAATTTACTTTAAAATACGTCAGTGGAAAGAAAGCCAGATGAAGCAAGGAAGGCAAAACGTCAGCAGCCGTTAAATCAAACAGAAGAGCGTGTTTCTGTTCCTTAATTATTGTCATCTCAACATGTCTGTATGTTTGGAAATTTTCATAATAAAAGACAAATAAGAAGAAAATGACATTTGGAAAGATTCTATTAAAAGAGTGAAAAAGATAACCAGGTAGGCCAATGACATCTTCTCACCTGCCGCCCAACCTCCTCCTCTGTTTTGTCCACAGGGTTTCTCAATGGACTAATGGCCAGAGGTTGGTGCGTCAAGAATTTGGGGTGTCAAGGTTAAGCTCAAAACATGGACTTTGTGTGACAAGACAGGTTGGCCACTGACTTAAATACTTCCCCACAAAAGGGACAAGCCCGGAGCCAGGTTACCGGCCCACACCTCAAGACAGGCTCTTTTAGGAAATGGACAAAGCTCTATGACACGAACAAGCTCTTCGGGGAATTTAAATTTGCTTTCCCTGACGTGACTCCACTATCATCCCTACCCTTGAACTTACAGGGCATCCACACTTCAGTCTCAGCAGGTTTGTTGTGTGTGTGTGTGTGTGTCTGTGTGTGTGTAACTCTGTGTGTCTGGGTGTGTGTGTCCGTGTGTGTCCGTGTGTGTCTGTGTGTCTGTGTGTGTCCATGTGTGTCTCTGGGTGTCTATGTGTGTGTCTGTGTGTGTGTCTCTGTGCGTCTGTGTGTCTGTGTGTCTCTGTGTGTCTGTGTGTCTATGTGTGTGTCTGTGTGTGTATCTCTGTGCGTCTGTGTGTGTCTGTGTGTGTCTCTGTGCGTCTGTGTGTGTGTCTCTGTGTGTCTGTGTGTCTGTGTGTGTCTGTGTGTCTCTGTGCGTCTGTGTGTGTGTCTGTGTGTGTGTCCGTGTGTGTCTGTGTGTGTCTGTGTGTGTGTCTCTGTGCGTCTGTGTTTCTCTGTGTGTCTGTGTGTGTCTGTGTGTGTGTCTGTGTGTGTGTCTGTGTGTGTCTGTGTGTGTGTTTTTGTTTGTTTTGAAACACGGTCTTGCTCTGTCGCCCAAGCTGGAGGGCAATAGTGCGATCGCAGTTCACTGCCGCCTTGACCTCTTAGGCTCAAGCGATCCTCCCATCTCAGCCTCCTGACTAGCTGGCACTGCAGGTGTTAGCCACCACTTCTAGCTAATTTTTGTATTTTTTGTAGAGACAGGGTCTTGCTATGTTGCCCAGGATTATCTTGAACTCCTAGGGTCAAGTGATCCTCCTGCCTCAGCCTCCCATAGTGTTGGGATTACAGGTGTGAGCCACCATGCTCAGCCAGCATCTTTATTAACATCAGATTTTGTTTTTTTCTTTTTGAGACAGAGTTTTGCTCTTGTTGCCCAGGCTGGAGTGCAGTGGCGCGATCGCGGCTCACTGTGACTTCCACCTACTAGGTTCAAGCGATTCTCCTACCTCAGCCTCCTGAGTAGCTGGGACTACAGGCA